GTTCCCCGTGTTAGTTTAAGCAGCATTCGGAACAGTTTAGATTTGAATTATAAAGATGAAATTCAGGCATTTACGCAATCTTATGTGGTTACCCAAGAATACTGTAAGGAGTATGGCTATAGAATGTCTCTTTTTGCTTATAGCAATATTGTTTTTCCCAGTACATTTCAACTGTTGTATTTTTTATTTATTTTGCACTTTTCAGTAGTTTTCTTTTATTTTTAGTATACTTTCGAGTATACTTTAGAGATTATATTAAGTTTTAATTTCGAAAATATAACTTTATTTGAAAGATTCTTCTAAGTTTTAGTAATATTATTAATTTGTTTTAAATGTATCAAATTAAACTTTATTTATTTTGATTTCTCTTTCTACCTTTCCTTTCCTAGATTAAATCAAATCTAAGGTGTGTATTGTATATCGTTTTATTTTTATATAACTTTTAAAATAGTTAAAAGTTATATAAAAATGCAATGATATACATCTAGGTAAAATTAGGACGTCCTTAGGACGTCTGAATAAGACGTGCTTAAGTCTTTCACATGAGACCAGTTAGAGACGTCCATAGGACGGCTAAAAAGACGTCTCTAGACCATATTTAAAAAGCGACTCTAGGACGTCTCAAAGTAACGTCTTATAGACGTCTGGAGTAGACGTCCTAGGACGTCCTTAGGACGTCAAAATGCCCACTGGGCATTTTGATAAAAAAAATAGTCTGGAAACGTAGACCGTTTTTAACAGTTTTCATTGTTTAAGTTAAAAATTGAGTTATCCGTGTGAATGAGGTGCAAAACAAACTTTTAAGATCGCTGAAAATTCAAAAGATTTAAATAATTTTGAGCCCACTTTTGAGTTGCATCGAGACAAGCTTGATTCTATTTTCGCAGTTATTGACCAGGATTTGCTATATGACGTTGATTAAAAACAACAGTCTGATTTTTTTTTTGTACAGATTTATTTGCATTTAGCATGAACTTATAGTAGTGAAAGATATGCAGTTTTGTTTATAAAAAATAAATACAAATACAGCTATTTTTTTATTTAAATCATTTTACTTTACTTTAATTCATTGAGCACTTTCACAAAACTATATGCAAGTACTAGTACGTATATGTATAAATGCAAGAGTTATAAACTTATGTATTTTATTTAAGATTTACTCCTACAAGACTCACATTGTATGTGAAAGTCAGCTTATAGCTTTAAAGTTTTAACCATAATGAAAATCATTTTTGAAAAATATTAAGATGTGGTAATTCGGTCACTTAACAAAAAAATCTAGTTTAAGTAACAAAACAAGGCAAAAAATGTTTTTGAAATTTATGAAAGTAACAAATCATGAAACAAGATCATCAAATAAAATACAAAAAAATTCATAAGAGCTTTAAATATGTTAAGTTTATTTAAGAATCACTCATTCAAGATGCACATTATATGTGAAAATTAAAATCGTGGGATTAAAACTTCAACTAAAGTTCAATAATGAAAATTAGTTTTTGAAATTTAAAATATAGTGCAGTTAGGCCATTTAATAAAAAACCTGTTTAAACGACATAACATTGCGATATCTAATTATGAAATCAAAGGAGGTATGTTTCAACTCCTAAGACTAGATTTTTAAAACACAGTTTAAAATACAATTGTGAATATAAACAACAAAATGCTCTTCAATTACAGCTGCAAGCTTTTGAAAATGTATTGACCAGTTCTCTGGAAAGTGAGGTTGTCGTACTTTTTAAAAAATCCCTAAACATAGTTTTGCCCACAGAAGTTCATTTTTGTTTTTAAAGGAAATTTGATGATGATTTGATAAAGTTTTTTAACACAGCCAAAACAATTGATTGAAGTGTTCTAACAAAGCCAGATTCCAAAGCTCTTTGTATTGGTGAAGAAGTGATATGTCATTGCTCAAATTTGAGACTTTTGCTGAACTGCTAATTCTTACTTAGCAGAAATAGCAGTTCAGCAAAAGTGTTCGCATGTATTTAGGCTAATCACATAAATAATTTCTAAGATTTGGTCTGGAAGTTTTATTAGTCTCAGAAAACTCTTAACTGGAATACTGGCAACAATGGTTTTAATAGGCTTATTCATTGCTTTATGGGGTATTTACAGTGTATGGGAAGTTGAGGTACAGTTATTCGAAGACTCAATGAAGAATTGGCATTTTCTCAAAGATTAGAACTTTGTTCATCTTGATAATGCAGTTATTTTATGTACTCATATATCAGTCCCCTTTATTTTTAGTTGTTACCAAATATTTTTTCCTTAACTAAAAATAAAAATTACTAACCAGTTTTCGGTAGGTAATTTTTAATTTTAGCTAACGAAAGTAAATTTTCTTACCGCCGTTAAGTTTGTTAGAAGATGAGTGAAGTTGTTGTAAAAGTTGAACTTTTTCATTAGGATTTTTGATATTTATTCTTTCCTTTAATAGCGTAGTTTTTCTTTTAGCAACATTCATGTCTAAATAAATTAGACTTAATTTGTTATGGTTGGGCATAGTGAGTTGGGCTAAATAAAAAGATTGATTCACTTTGCCCAATTAATGATCTTAAAGATTAAATTCATGCATTTTTAACAGACAAACTACATGAAAAACAGAAACATGCAATCCGCGTAGTTAATTATGCGTATCGCTTTTCAAATTCAAAATATTTTTTTAATTATTTGAAGGTTCTAGATGTTCATAAACTGAACATATTTAGTGTCTTTTGTTTTACTTTTATGAGGAAAAACGATTTATCTTTATTTATTTTTAACGACCTTTTTTCCAATAAATAAATACACATTAAGAAAAAATAATTTTTTAAATGAACCTTTTTGCAAAACTAAGTTCAATCGATTTTGTTTTGCATATCGTTCACCCCATATTTGAATTAAAATAGTATTACCAAATTTTGATCCTTCTATTACTTTTTCTGTTTTTAAAATTAAGTTAAAAACTCATTCTATTAAAAATGTATGTGAAATGTATTTGTTAAATCTCCAACTTATTATATAATAAAATGTGTTATCTTTGTATAATGTAAATATGTTAAATTTTCTCTCTCTCTCTCTATCTATCTATATATATATATATATATATATATATATATATATATATATATATATATATATATATATATATATATATATATATATATATATATATATATATATATATATATATATATATATATATATATATATATATATCATATATATATACATATATATATATATATAATATATATATATATATATATATATATATATATATATATATATATATATATATATATATATATATATATATATATATATATATATATATATATGTATATATATATATATATATATATATATATATATATATATATATATATATATATATATATATATATATATATATATATATATATATATATATATATATATATATATACATAGAAAATTGATATAACTGTTTTTTTTTTTCTTGCTATTTTTTAAAATGTCTTTCTTTTTCAATTTTATACTAATTTAATAAATAAAAGTATACCAAAAGTATAGTGTACAGTGTCTTTACTGCCTCAGCCTCAAGATTATTTGACTATGTCCTTATTCACTATCATTAATTCACGACTGTATTCATTTTTTCACTTTGCCCCAGTACATAGTAAATAACATAAGACAACTCACTTTAAACCTTTCTGTGAGCCGTTAGATAATGAATATTTGGATTTTAGTGATTTATTGTCATAAAGGACATATATCTCAATCATTTTGTTTTGAAAAAAATAAAGTACATATTTTAACTTTTGCTCAATTTAAAAAAATAAAGAAATCCCATCTACTGTGCCCCAACTTCCCCTACATAATCTTTCTTCGGTTTAAAAGAAAGATTTATATGATTTATTTAATAAAATTGACAAATTCATTAAATAAATCATATAAGTGGCCGTTTTACCCCAATTTTTAAAATAGCTTATTTACCCCATTTACCTCATAGTAAATGCAATGAGATTAACAATGCCCTTACTTATATAGCTCATAGAGTTCTGTTTAAAATTTTGTCTAAATGGCCCTCTCAAGTATTTGCTTAGCAATAATTAGCGTTTTTAAAACTAAAAAGACATAAAAAAATGATATGCAAAAAACATTCAAAAATAAGATAATTATTTTAATTTTTTTGTAACGAGCATTAAAATGTATAGTTAATATTCGGGTATAAAAAGTATGTGAAGTGAAATTCTAATAAGCGAAAACAAAAGGTTAAAAAAATATAATTAAAAGGAAAATGGAATTGATTATGGATTTAACAGGGAATTAATTTTCACATCTAAGAGAAAGTAATAACATTTGAACATGCCAACTACAGAGATAACATTCAAGAAACTTCTTTCAAATAACGTGAGTATAAACAGTTTTCTTTCAAATAACGTGAGTCAACAAAGTCATAAAATAGTATTTAACAAACAAGCAAAAAAGACATATCTAGACTGGCATCAGCAACTGTAATTTGTAAATAAATGCAGGAAGCTTTATTATTAGAATAATTTTATGTTGCAGAAGCAATATTTGGAAACAATTTGGCAAATTAAAACTCTAATATAGGCAGTTTTTTACATAGTAATGGTACTCAGAAATATCATTGGCTTTATCAAACTAGTATAATTTATGGAAAAACTTTATCTTTTGTTTTGTCAGAAAAGGTTGACAAAAATGCAGCAAAATAGTATATAAATTTGTGACGCTGTTAATAGCCCCAGAAAAAAAATTATTTTTTTCAAGTTATTAGCAATAATAATATCTGATCTTTCTTCCGTTAATCCTTTTTTTAACTTACAATTAAAAATATCAAGGAAAACCAAGTTCGCTATACAAAATAAACTATTATTTACAATTTAAGAAACACCTAAATTAAAAAACTTTGAAAAGCTAAAAAATGCTAAAAGCTGCTAAAATATATTGTTACAAATTGAAAAACAAAATCTAATAATGTTTTAATGAACAAAAACAAAGAAACTTAAACATACCTCTCAACATGTTGATTCATGCACAAATAAATATGTGAACTTTCAGTATCTACATAAATTCCTCTACCATAGTATTCTTAATTAAAAAAAAATGAATATTATACTTTTAGTTTACTATAAAAATTTATTTGATTCAAATTATTGAATATATGTAAATGAGAGATTGTTTTTTGCCTAGTAGTTTAGTCTCAACGTAGTTTTCTGCGCAGCAGCTTTCCTAAAGTAAGTTGTTTATTGAAATATACAGAGTATGTTGTGATCCCTTTGTGTACCTGAATATGAAAAAAAATGATAAAGCTGCAAATTAATTTTTTTGAAACACCCCAATAAATAAAAGATATGTTTATTATATTAGATAACTTTTATTATCATAAAAAAAATAATTGTATGAATTACTTTAGTGTCTAAACTCAAGACTTTTTAAACTCTCTAATTTTTTTTTATTTTATTTAATTGTGGTACTAAATAGTTAAGCATTTATAAAAAACAGTTTGCAACTCTAGATGAAAGAGCAATGTTTATACCAAATCAACATTTATAGTATTGAACTTAAAAGCATTGTAGAAAAATTGCAGATCTACCAGGCTAGCACACATACATTGTTAAAAATTAGACCAATGTTGCACGTTTCGTTTGCCCAACATCGGAAAATTTTCATTAAATTCTATTTTCTTTATTTATATATATATATATAAATATATATATATATATATATATATATATATATATATATATATATATATATATATATATATATATATATATATATATATATATATATATATATATATATATATATATATATATATATATATATATATATATATATATATATATATATATATTATTTATAAAAAAAGACATTCTGTATTTTATAATTGTTCTGATTTCTTCTTCACTAATTTTTATAAGTTGTTTTGCAAACGTTAGAGCATTTTTTAGAATTGTGGGTGTGATGAATGGGTAAAATTCAGTGATGTCGAGTTGGATAAAAGTGCAGTGTTTCTTTTCTTTTATGCTTTTGAACCATTTAATGACTTCAGCGGTATTTTTCCAATGGTTTAATTTTAATGTACTTTTTTTGTGTTTATTAATCTTATCTAAATAGGTTTTGCTTACAATGCCAAGTTCGCTCTTTGCTCTTTTACGACAAACCTAACAATCGCTAACTCCTTAGACGTTACATTTAACCTTGAAAAAGACAAAATATCATTCTTTCAAAAAACCAAATAGCAACCTACTTTACATCCACACTGAGTCCAACCACCCCCCACAAATTATTAAACAAATTCCGATTGCTATCAACGATAGGTTATTCCAGAATTCTTCTGACGAAAAAATATTCAACTCGGCAAGGGAAGAATATGACGAAGCCCTAAAAAGAAATGGGTTCAAAGACTTTAGCTTCAAATACAACCCTAAAATTGATACTAAAGTAACCGCCAATCAAATAGCAAAAATTATAAAGAACCACAACAATAAAATTATTTCGATGAACCCATCAGTCACTTTAGCTTGCAATTATAAACTAAGCAAAATCTGCCCTATGAATTGAAATTGCAGAAAAACAAATGTAATTTATAAGTGCATTGCATCATTCCCAAACACATCCGACAAAACATACATTGGTTCAACAAAGGGGATGTGGAAAACCAGATGGGCGAATCACAAGCAATCCTTCAAAAATAAAAACTCACAAATGCAACCACGCTTTCTAAATATATATGGGATACACAAAATAAAACAAAAACAACACCCAATTTAAAATGGTCCATCATAAAATATGCCCCCGCGTACAACAACATAACCAAAAAATGCTTGTTATGCTTATACGAAAAACTAATTATTTTATTGTATAAAAATCCTCAAGAACTATTAAACAAAAAAAACGAACTAATATCTAAATGTCGCCATGAGAACAAATTTTTGCTGGACAACCACAAACCAAAAGATTAGATTTTTTTAACTTATTTTCTTTTGTACAGATTTATTATTTTTACGAGAAAAAAAACATATTTACACCTGATGATTGCATTTAGCATGACTCTAATAGTTGTGAAAAATATGCAGTTTTATTTATAAATAATATATATAAATACACCTCTGTTTTAATTTAAATCATTTTAATTTAGTTTATTTTATTGAGCACTCTCGCGAGGATATATGCAAGCACTAATACGTATACATATATATATATATATATATATATATATATATATATATATATATATATATATATATATATATATATATATATATATATATATATATATATATATATATTTAAATATATTTATAGATTACGTAAACATTATAAATATATATATATACATATATATATATATATATATATATATATATATATATATATATATATATATATATATATATATATATATATATATATATTTCAATAGATGGCATCGGAACAAAAAATCATGTTTGCGTTGGTTGTGGTTTTGTATTTTTATAATCACGGAAGATTTTATTTCAGTTATGTAATTTCGCAAAAGCAATGTTTGGTCGCATACATTGAATCAAAGTTGGGTGTAGAGCGTAAAAGCAATCAACTTTTTGAGATGTTTTTACATACATTGGATAATCGTTAACTTATATACATTGAATCAATGTCGAGATATATACATTGGATCAACTTTGTGTTTAGGTTTTAAAAACAATCAAATTTTTTTGATATTTTTACATACATTTGAAAATCGTTGATTTATGTACATTTAATCAACATTGAAATATATGCATTGAATCAACATTGTGTTCGATTTGAAAAACAATAAACTTTTTGCGATGTTTTTATATACATTGGACCAAAGTAAATTTTCCAGATGATTTTAGTTCCGGCGGTAATTATTTTATCATTAACGAAATGACATTGGGTCAACTTTGGTTTTGCATCGGAAAAAAGAGCCAACGCTTGCGATGGTTTTACATACGTCAGCCCAATGTTAGTGTGCTTCCTGGGTATTACCCACTCTATGCAATAAACATGAAAGAAAAATTGATACAATTATGTTATGAAGTCTTTCATTATAGTGTTGTGTCTTTCCGTCGATTCTTTTTTATAATGAACTTTTGAAAAAAGTATTTAAAAACTTTCTTTGTTCGATCTTTAATATTTTAGACTTTTGAAATATCTGAAGTCTTATATAATTCTTAAGCCAAACTTGAGACCCAGGTGGCACACTTACGTTGATAAAAAGTTAGAACAATGTTGTGCGTTGCCTTGGCCCAACATCGACCGCCAACATTGTTTTTATATCATTTTGGCTGCAAATGCGACGTCGCTTACAACTAAAAAACAACTTTGGTTCAACTCTGTATTTTAAGTTTACATTGCGTAGTGTTTTGCGTTTATTCAACGTTGTATTTTACGTTGGCAAAACGCTGTGTTTTGATATGATATGCTTAACGTTTCACGACTTTTTATTTACCATTTTTCCGATTTTATTTAATTCGTTTTATGTTAAGCATATATATATATATATAAACCTAAGACATAATAAATTTTTTCGTAAATATATTCTATATGCTTACATATTCCGGGCATTTTGACAGTGAATTGTGGTATTGTGGTTTATCCTCCTCAGGCTAATTATAACATAGAGGTTACATTAACAAGGCCGCAAAGACAAGATCGGCTCCCCAAGAAGCGTCATAACCCGCTCAACGATCAAAGAGTAAGGTTGGTTTGGGAAGAACAAAGATGTGTTAGAGTAAAAGATGGAAGTAGTTGAGTTAGAAAAATAGCGTAGAGAAAGCGGACAGATATTGCACACAAGGTTAGAAGGTATGAACATAAAAACCAAGAAATATTATTCCTTATAACATATGTTAGTCTTCTTACATTGCATTTGATTAAAGAGGTATTATTCATGTTTGTTTTGCTTGTGGTTTGAAATTTCATAACATAAAAAAGAGAAAAATGTATTAGCAAAATATAATTCTATAATCAAATGAAATACTTATATGAATGGTAATTATCATAAATTATAAAAATGTATATTTGTATATCTGCCTTAACTCGGATCAAACTCAAAATTGATCCACTGTATTAAATCTAAAGTTGTTCCAATATATGTATATACATCATATCAGTATTGGGTTATATTTTTTGAATCAACATTGAGTTTAGATTGCAAAATAATCCAACTTTTGCGATGTTTTTATATATATTTGATCAACCTAGATTTATATATACTTAATCAATGTTGGGTTATATACATTGGATTAACGTTTCGCTAAGATCGTAAAAGCAAACAACTTTTTAAAAATTTTTTACATACGTTGGACCAATGTAAATGTGCTAGCTGTTGTAACTTTCGTCGGTATTAATTTCTTCATTAAACAAATGACATTGGATCAATGTTGGTTTTTCATTTGAAATAACAGCCGACGTTTGCAATGGTTTTACGTACGTTGGCCCAACATTAGCGTGCTAGCTGGGGAAGGTAGTGTGGAAATACCCAGCTAGCACACATATGTTGAAAAAACGTTAGACAATGTTGTTTGTTGCGTTGGCCCAACATCAACCGCCAACTGTGTTTTATACCATTTTTGTTACAAATGTGACGTCGCTAACAATCAAAAAATAACGTTAGTTCAACTTTGTTTTTGAAGTTGGCATTGTGTAATGTTTTACGTTAATTCAACGTTGTATTTTACGTTGGCACAATGTTGTATTTTACTTTGATTCAACGTTACGTTTTAAGTTTGCATTACTTTATACTTATATTTTATCATAATTGAATTAATGTGTTTTATATGGAAAACTTGTGCAGTTATAAATATTTTTTTAAATTGTGTTTTGCAAATATATATTTTTTTGTTTAATTTTATTTTATTTGCTGCCTTGAAAGGCATAATAAAACTTTTATAATACAAATACAGCTTTGCAAAATCTTTTAGTTTTCCAGCTGAGTATTTATAAAATGTAAGCAAACCAAAATTGCGATTTTGAGCGTGTAAATAAACTATTATGCATTCAAAGTTCAAAATATATTAGTTTACGTCCAATTAAAATTATTGCTCAACATAAAACTTTTTTATTAGTTTTTGAACCATTTTTTCATTTGATCGATTTCGTTTTGGTCTATTAACTAAATGATGAATAATATATTGTAATACCACTAAATTAACTGTTGTCAATTTCTAGTTATAAAATTAATTTTCTGACAGAATTTCTATTTAGATATATAAACATTTAAAAAATCAGGTGCTTAAGAATTCATAATGCGTTCCAGTACAGAGAATAAGCAAAAACTGCGGAAACAGTTTTTGAAAAAGAACGCAAATGTTGGCATTTGCATCGTGAGCAGAAGAGAATAAAAGTTTTCTCAGAACCATCAGATAGAAAAAAATAAATTTTTTGTTGTCGTAGGTGTGACAAGAAAGGAAAAATTTTAACTATGAAAAGAAATTTTGAAACACCATCATCAGAGTCATCAGAACGTGAGTTTAGTAGCAATAACAGATGCAAACAAAGAGGGAGATACATAGATGCTTACTAAAAAACAAACAAAAAAAAAAAACACATACTGAAACTTTTTAGTCCCTGTGTTTTTAGTCCCTATTTCAACTTATTGCACATCCTAACATCGGGTGCAATCTTGTCCGCTTTCTCTATGCTATCTTTTTAACACGACTTCTTCTGTCTTTCACTCTAACATATCTTCGTTCTTCCTAAAACTCACTTTACTCTTGGTCCGTAGAGCGGGTTATGACGCTCCTTGGGGAGCCGAACCTGTCTTTGCGGTACCTTGGTAATGTGGCCTCTATATGGCAACTAGCCGGAGAAGGATAAACCACAATACCAAAAAACAAAGGTTTACAAACAAATAATAAAATGACAGAAGAATTCGAAACGGCTAATTGTTACGTAAATATTTGAGAAATAAAAAAAATGTCGGGTAAAGCTTATAAGTTTTTTGCCTGGTTTACAAACAATTTTACTTACAGCCACTGGTAGATGGTCAACTTTTTCCGTGGATATGATTTTTTTACAAGCAAAATGAGCAAAATGTCTAGTTTATCAAAAAGAAATCAAACGCCTAACTTCTTTGTTATCAAATATGACAACTCCAAACAGCTATTACGTGATACTGCATTGCTTGATGCTGAATAATTACCAATTTCCACATTTAAGCAACAAGTTCATTGGTCCGTTTCATTTAAACAAAAATGTGACTGTCTTGTTGATTGAAGCAAACAACATTGTGAGCGATCACGAAATTCATCACATTAATAATGTTAAATGATTGGTATCCTGTAACGGAGCGGAAATTATTTGTACACTTTAAATTTTAAATGACTATGCATACTTAGCTGTTTTTTATATTCATTTCATAAACTTATACTAGAACTTTTTATTTTGTAAATTGTCCATAAATTTGATTTTTATATGTTACGTCATCGATTTGTTCGCGTAGTGCTGTTTATGTAATAACGCTCTTATTTTGAGGCGCGGGTAATAGTGTTTGGGATTCAAATCTTATTTAAAAAGACCTTTTTTGGCGAAAACTTTAATGTTTTATTTTTAGCTTGTCATTACTTGTTTGTCATTTGTCATTACTTGTCGTGCTTACCACGGCTGTTTCACTCAATATAAAAACATGCGTGACGTCATGAATTTATCTAAAATAAAGTATTTCCGCATAAAAAGTATAAAAACTCACAAACTTTAAGATATTAGTAAATTTTGTTTATAAATACTTTCATCTTTAATTTATAAAAAAATATCAAAGATCCATTTTTCCTTGTTAAATAAATATTTACATTAGGTTAAATAAAAATAAATATTGCTAAAATATTTTTTATGATTAAGAATCAATTTTATGGTTTTTCCATACTTTGCTGAAAAAGTTAGGCCTACTAAGATTTGATAATATATTTCTGTGCTTGATAGTTGAAACTTAGAACGCTTAGCCATGAATGTCCATTCTATCAGATTCCTACGTCATCTTAGTAATTTTTCTATAATAAGACTGTTTTTAAAGCATTTATATTTTTTAACTTATCGTTTTAAAATGTAAAACATAACTTTGTCGATGGATGACGTAAGTTATTGTAATGTCAACCTTTTGTTCCAATGAAATTAAAAAAATTATTATATGCACTTTCAGCTCTGTTATCAAATATGTTTTCAAACTCAGCTAATTTAGAAAAAGTTTATTGATTTTTTCAAACTATCACGAGACCTCAATTACTTTAATAGTAATCACACTAAAGTTGCTTGAAATACTTATACAGAATAATGTGAAAATTTTCATAGTAAAACAACGTTTTGTTGAAAAATAAAAAATAAATATTTGCGTTTGTTTTTTAAAAGAATAACATTAATTCTTAAGTAACGTAGTATAAAAAAAGATAAGAAATTTCTTAGCTTAATTTTACTTAAAAATTAATGCAAAGTATTATAAATTGCTTAAAATATACCTGGTAGTGCGTTTTGATCTCTTTGTATAATTGGTGGTATATCAAAACAAGGAACATTATTTTTGCTTGACATTGTTATCGTTTTTAACACACCCATGTTGTTTTGAAAAGTTAGTCTTGCAGGAATTTCAATTGGTAATCCGCATTTGGTTTTATGCAGTTTCAGTGTAATGTTGTGTGTAATTACATCTATTGTTTCAAAGTATCCATAAAACTAAAACAGTAAAATAAGTATAGTAGTTTAAAAGTTTCTTATAAAAACAAGCTTTTGTCAACATTATGCTATGAGCAAGCCAAAATAAAAAAAAGGTTTTAGTATACACAGGACCAGATATTGAACATGTGAAAGACAAAACTTTTAGCAGCTTTTACTTTTTAATCTTACGCAAACCTTTTAAATATTTAAGCAATTATAAACCTTTGTATAGAAACTTTGTTAAGCTATTGCACGTATTGAAAATGATTTAACAAACTGTATTTCTTTTAGAACGCAAACGAAAAAATTTTTACTTTTAAATAACTAACTTTAAAAAATAATGCAACAAACTAAGAATGAAAAATATTTCTGTGATTGCAATGGTTCAAAATTTGTTATGTAAAATAACATCATAGTTTTGTTTTATTATCCCTAATCTGGGAGAAAAATTTAGTAAACATAAAATGAAATGTAAGTTTATCACCAAATTTTAATTTTTATCGACTTATTATTAGACGCTTGTACCAATAAGTATTAAATTTTATGATAAAACTTAAAATTTATCACTTAATTTTGATCTAAACTTAAGAAGTGCACTTTTATTTAATGATCTATACTTAAGGTGGTAGTACACCATTAAAGATAAAATCTTGCAATTTAACTTTTTTTTAATTAATAATAGTGCATAACATATATTATATGATTAAAATATAAGTAAAAATTTTAAAAGTTAAAAAAATCAATTCTGCGCATAATTATTGACAGACAAAGCCTAAAAGTGAATAACTGGCGACAGAGTTTTTTCAGCAACCGTAAATAAATTTGAACTGAAATTTTGGCTTGTGATCTTTTACTTATGCAATAACAACATGCACTAAAAGTTTTGGATTTTGACCTAAAAAAATGTCAAAATATATGCATTTTAGTCATATTTGGAAGTTTCGGTGTTATTTGAGAACACAAAATCACTCACAAAAGTAGAACACAATTAGCTGTAAACATAATTCTAGTAGAGGTTGCAAATACATGTGTTACAAACAAGTGTGCCAAATTTTAGATCAAATTAGCTATCTGTTTGAAAAATATCTCCGTCGCCAGAGTATTAAACATGATTTAGAGAAAAACTCAATTTAAAAATAAAAACAAAAAAAAAATTGTTCAAAACTCCCCACTTCCATAAACTAGTGAACCTTCTAATGTTTTGTTTTGACCACAAATAGCTTTTTGTATAGCTCTTAGTTTCTTGCGTCTCAATTTCACTATACTTGTGCATTGTTTTTCTGCTTTAGAAATGCGCTTAGAGTCATTTATAAGACAAAAGTTATGTAGATTGCAACCTACTGTTATTTCAAGCTTATCAAATAACGTCTCTAAAAATTGTAGTCTATTATTAAAGTATAGGACAGCTGATGCAACTCCAACACATAAAGCAGTTCTTTCTACAAATATATCTTTTGGGAAACCTCTCCCAAATCAATTGATTCAGCGCCTCATTAGGATTTTGTGTTTTGCCGTGCAAACACTTTTCTAAAAGAACATCACTACCAAGATCTATAAATATTGGTTTTATAAAATCCCTCACAGCAGCAGGAATACAAATATTTTCTTTTTATATATTTTTTCCAGTTATTTTAACAGCCTGGATTTTGCACCAAGAATCCTTGGTGCGCAAACAAAATTGATGGCGTGTTTCATTGTCATAACTTTCAGAACAGTGAAAAAGAACAGCAGCAACACTTTTTTTCATTGCATATAAACTACTAATATTTTGTCTGATGGCTTTGCCATAGTAATTTTGCAATGTGTTAATAATATTTTCTGTCAAACGACCTGTTCCTACTAGTTTTTTACCATCACTTAAAATTTCTTTGCTGCTTTTTTTTAAATTTCTTGAACGCGTGCCAACTCGTTTTTAAATATGACCAATGCACTCTGCTTTTTTAATTTCTACATTATGTCCATAAGGTTTAGCAGCAACAACGCTGAAATAATAACTACTTTCTCCGTCACCAAGATATGTGGTATACCTCAAATTTTTTTTTTTTCAGAACGATGAAAAAGTTTTAAAACACCACTTGATTCCATAGCTGATGGTAATCCAGTATGACTAATTTTACACTTTTAGAAATGTGATGACTGGAACTTTTCATATTTAACTGGATGTGTGTATTTTTTTAACTTCCATATTGAACATAATTTAAATGTTTTTGTTTCTATTTGAAAGTCAATAAACTTACCACTTACAACTGAAATTGCAGAAACAACTCCGTTATTTGAAGTAAAACCACGCTTTTGCCATGAACTATCAAAGCTACACATAATGTCTCTTAATATTTCACCTGCAGGGATTAATTCATCAGCAGCATTTTTCATGTTCTGGTCAACTAAATTTTGATAAACATCTAACAGGTTATGTAAAGTTTTATTGTAGCTTTTTTTGTTCATAGGTGGCTTCATATTCATTATTCCACAAAATTTTTAACCCTTTACCCATTTCACAAAAAGCCACAATGACACGTGTGTTAATATCAAATGGTTTTTTCCCACTACATTTGCTTTAACTAGGCTCTTGTTGTTCAAGAAAAATTTTTTTACAAAATGTAGCAGACAAAAAAACTCAGTTTTCCAATTACAACTGTTACAACATATTTTTAAACCAGTACTCAAACCATACTTTTTTGACGAATCAAACATTAAAAATACATTATCTTCACACAAATTTGGGCATTTAAGTAACAATATAATGTTTCCAACAGAGTAAAGTTCATAACAAAGTTAAAATATGTACTTTTAAAATCTTGAAAATCTCTATCAGCAATATTTAACTTTTTTGAATAAGCAGAATGTGTAGCAGATTCAACAAAAGATAAAGTTTTCGTTTCTAAAAAAGGAATCTTTGTATATCTGTTTCTGCTTGATAATTGTTTTCTCTTTGATCCACCCATATTATTTTTATTGTAAAACGATAAAGGATATACTACAGCATAAAAAATAAAGTTTGAATGCAGCTTGAAACAAGAAGCGAATTACGTCAATAAAGCCATCATACTGAACTAATTAACAAGAAGTCGTTGCAGTTTACAACTTTGCACTTAAAATAGTTGGCTAGGTAAGTATTTAATGGCTTTTTTATGGTTTTAACTTGTTTCTGAAGCGCTTAACAACGGAATAAACAAAGCATTGTTACGCGGAAAATAAAAATTATTTTATACCAATACATTATAAACAGGTTTTAACATATGAAGCTTTTTTTATTTAGTTAAATCAACTTAAAAATCGAAATCTGCGATGATTATATTGGTTAAATAATGAAAGAAAAAAAAAAAATTAAACTTTTATTGGTGTACTACCACCTTATGAATTAAAGACCTTGAAATGAAAACCTCAATTGTCTACTTTTATGCAAATTGGATTTGTGTTATTTTTTGGTTACCTATATATAAGTCCGTGTAATGACTCTTTTTAGATGTTTCTTTTAAAACTTTGTCCTTCAAATTGACTGTCAAAAAAAAAATTTTTTTAAAAACATCATTAGTTTAAATGCTCTTTTGAAGAATAAATCGTTTGTGACATTTGATGTTTTCATTCTAAGTTCAACTCATGATCTAAACTTAGGAGGTGCATTTTTTTTTTTTTTTATTCAACGCCCAAATATGCTGGCCTTTAAATTTAGAAACTAAACTCTTTTTTTATTTCGTTTGCTCTAATCACAATTACTTTATAATAAAAACCTTCATTTGACACTTGGAAGTGGGGTAACGGTAGAGGAGAGGTAGAGGTGCCGAGAGTCATGCTCCTAATTTTTTTAAATTTTTCAAATAAAATAAGAAAAATAAGTTAAGAAATAAACTTATTTTTTAAATAGTTTGTCTGCCACCGCTTCTTGTTTTTTTAATAAATAGCGCCACGATATAATAGAATAAAACATAAAAAAACCAACAGTTCTAATTGTGTTAATAACTAATATAATATTACTAATGTTTTCAACTGCGAAGTAATCCACTAATATTTAGAGTGGTAGCCCTCCTTAAAGACTAATTTAACATCAAGAAGTAACTCACACGTATTAGTAGTGGTTGTCTTATTTTTATTTCATTGGTGAAAATTCGAAATTAAGATTCGCCTAAATATACTGAGCAATAAAAATATTTTATGGCTTTAATGATTGACAAACCAATTGAAGAGCTAAAGGAGTTTTATGTAAAACTAAATCAATAAACTAATTAATTAAAAGTGTAATTGACTAAAAAATATGCAGACATAGCTGAACTAAACAAGCGACTCATAAATTTCGTTAGGGGAATAGATACTACCTACGCCTTAGGACAACCTTGGGCATACTTTAGAGCTTCTTGAAAAGTGGAGAGAACACAACGAACATTACTCTAGCAAAAAACAGTTGTTTAAAGAAATCTTATACCTACGTCTGATGATATCGTATAAAATTAAATAGAGGCAACCAATCGCTTATAATTATTGCTTAACATACCGCTGCTGTCGCTGCTATTGGTGCCCATTTGTGCGCGTTTACACAGACTTTTTAACCATTTATTATAAATAGGATTTAGCATGCTTCTTTTCAATAAACTTTTAAACTCACGCGATGAATTGCTCTTAAATATTAATAATCTGTTAATATCTGATTAATCAGTAATAAGATCGAAAGCTTTGCTTCATCAGCTTATTTAGTGATGAGTTTGACAATTTTTATTTGATAACTTCAGTATTAAAGAGTGAGCCTTATGTTATTTTTGAATTAATAAAGTAACTTTTAAAGTCAGGTAATTTATTTAACTCATGCAATATAATAATAACACAATTCAAGTCCTTTGTCAATTGTATTTAGAGTTTCAATTAGATTACGTTAGATAAAGTTTAAATTAAATTAGAAGACGATGATGACTCTAGAAAATGTTGCTCTTTTCAAAGGTCAAGATGTCAAACTCTTGATAAAGTTAGTGTTTATCTCCAAAACCCTTGCATCTCACACAGTCAACTTTATGTTACATGTTAAAGAA